CCCACTCGGGTAGAGGTGTGTCCCTGTGTGTGTGAGGCCGACGTTCCCACTCGGGTAGAGGAGTGCCCCTGTGTGTGTGAGACCGACGTTCCCACTCGGGTAGAGGGGTGTCTCTGTGTGTGTGAGACCGACGTTCCCACTCGGGTAGAGGAGCGTCTCTGTGTGTGTGAGATCGACGTTCCCACTCAGGGAGAGGAGCGTCCCTGTGTGTGTGATTCCGACGTTCCCACTCAGGTAGAGGAGTGTCCCTGTGTGTGTGAGACCGACGTTCCCACTCGGGTAGAGGAGCGTCCCTGTGTGTGTGAGATCGACGTTCCCACTGGGGTAGAGGAGTGTTCCTGTGTTTATGAGATCGACGTTCCCACTCAGATAGAGGAGCGTCTCTGTGTGTGTGAGACCGACGTTCCCACTCGGGTAGAGGGGTATCTGTGTGTGTGAGACCGACGTTCCCACTCGAGTAGAGGAGCGTCCCTGTCTGTGTGAGACCGACGTTCCCATTCGAGGAGGAGTGCCCCTGTGTGTGTGAGACCGACGTTCCCACTCGGGTAGAGGGGTGTCTCTGTGTGTGTGAGACCGACGTTCCCACTCGGGTAGAGGAGCGTCTCTGTGTGTGTGAGACCGACGTTCCCACTCAGGGAGAGGAGCGTCCCTGTGTGTGTGAGACCGACGTTCCCACTCGGGTAGAGGAGCGTCCCTGTGTGTGTGAGATCGACGTTCCCGCTCAGGTAGAGGATTGTCCCTGTGTTTATGAGATCGACGTTCCCACTCGGATAGAGGAGCGTCCCTGTGTGTGTGAGACCGACGTTCCCACTCGGGTAGAGGCGTGTCCCTGTGTGTGTGAGATCGACGTTCCCACAGGGGTAGAGGAGTGTCCCTGTGTTTATGAGATCGACGTTCCCACTCGGATAGAGGAGCGTCCCTGTGTATGTGAGACCGACGTTCCCACTCGGGTAGAGGAGCGTCCCTGTGTGTGTGAGATCGACGTTCCCACTCGGATAGAGGAGCGTCCCTGTGTGTGTGAGATCGACGTTCCCACTCAGGTAGAGGAGTGTCCCTGTGTGTGTGAGATCGACGTTCCCACTCGGGTAGAGGATTGTCCCTGTGTGTGTGAGATCGACGTTCCCACTCGAGTAGAGGAGTGTCCCTGTGTGTGTGAGATCGACGTTCCCACTCGGGTAGAGGAGTGTCCCTGTGTTTATGAGATCGACGTTCCCACTCGGGTAGAGGAGTGTCCCTGTGTGTGTGAGACCGACGTTCCCACTCGGGTAGAGGTGTGTCCCTGTGTGTGTGAGACCGACGTTCCCACTCAGGTAGAGGAGCGTCCCTGTGTGTGTGAGATCGACGTTCCCACTCGGGTAGAGGAGTGTCCCTGTGTGTGTGAGATCGACGTTCCCACTCGGGTAGAGGAGTGTCCCTGTGTGTGTGAGACCGACGTTCCCACTCGGGTAGAGGAGTGTCCCTGTGTGTGTGAGATCGACGTTCCCACTCGGGTAGAGGGGTATCTGTGTGTGTGAGACCGACGTTCCCTCTCGAGTAGAGGAGCGTCCCTGTGTGTGTGAGATCGACGTTCCCACTCGGGTAGAGGAGTGTCCCTGTGTGTGTGAGACCGACGTTCCCACTCGGGTAGAGGAGTGTCCCTGTGTGTGTGAGACCGACGTTCCCACTCGAGTAGAGGAGTGTCCCTGTGTGTGTGAGACCGACGTTCCGATTCGGGTAGAGGAGTGCCCCTGTGTGTGTGAGATCGATGTTCCCACTCGGGTAGAGGGGTGTCTCTGTGTGTGTGTGAGACAGACGTTCCCACGCGGGTAGAGAAGCGTCCCTGTGTGTGTGAGACCGACGTTCCCACTCGGGTAGAGGAGCGTCCCTGTGTGTGTGAGATCGACGTTCCCACTCGGGTAGAGGAGTATCCCTGTGTGTGTGAGATCGACGTTCCCACTCGGGTAGAGGAGTGTCCCTGTGTTTATGAGATCGACGTTCCCACTCGGGTAGAGGAGCGTCCCTGTGTGTGTGAGACCGACGTTCCCACTCGTGTAGAGGCGTGTCCCTGTGTGTGTGTGATCGACGTTCCCACTCGGGTAGAGGAGTGTCCCTGTGTGTGTGAGACTGACGTTCCCACTCGGGTAGAGGAGTGTCCCTGTGTGTGTGAGACCGACGTTCCCCTTCGAGTAGAGGGTTGTCCCTGTGTGTGTGAGACCGACGTTCCAACTCGGGTAGAGGGGTGTCTCTGTGTGTGTGAGACCGACGTTCCCACTCGTGTAGAGGAGCGTCCCTGTCTGTGTGAGACCGACGTTCCCACTCTGGTAGAGGAGCGTCCCTGTGTGTGTGAGTTCGACGTTCCCACTCAGGTAGAGGAGTGCCCCTGTGTGTGTGAGACCGACGTTCCCACTCGGGTAGAGGGGTTTCTCTGTGTGTGTGAGACCGACGTTCCCACTCGGGTAGAGGAGCGTCCCTGTGTGTGTCAGACCGACGTTCCCACTCGGGTAGAAGAGTGTCCCTGTGTGTGTGAGACCGACGTTCCCACTCGGGTAGAGGAGCGTCCCTGTGTGTGTTAGACCGACGTTCCCACTCGGGTAGAGGAGCGTCCCTGTGTGTGTGAGATCGACGTTCCCACTCGGGTAGAGGGGTATCTGTGTGTGTGAGATCGACGTTCCAACTCGAGTAGAGGAGCGTCCCTGTATGTGTGAGATCGACGTTCCGACTCGGGTAGAGGAGTGTCCCTGTGTGTGTGAGACCGACGTTCCCACTCGGGTAGAGGAGTGTCCCTGTGTGTGTGAGACCGACGTTCCCACTCGAGTAGAGGAGTGTCCCTGTGTGTGTGAGACCGATGTTCCCACTCGAGTAGAGGAGTGCCTCTGTGTGTGTGAGACCGACGTTCCCACTCGGGTAGAGGGGTGTCTCTGTGTGTGTGAGACCGACGTTCCCACTCGGGTAGAGGAGCGTCCCTGTGTGTGTTAGACCGACGTTCCCACTCGGGTAGAGGAGCGTCCCTGTGTGTGTGAGATCGACGTTCCCACTCGGGTAGAGGGGTATCTGTGTGTGTGAGACCGACGTTCCCACTCGAGTAGAGGAGTGTCCCTGTGTGTGTGAGACCGACGTTCCCACTCGGGTAGAGGAGTGCCCCTGTGTGTGTGAGACCGACGTTCCCACTCGGGTAGAGGGGTGTCTCTGTGTGTGTGAGACCGACGTTCCCACTCGTGTAGAGGAGCGTCCCTGTGTGTGTTAGACCGACGTTCCCACTCGGGTAGAGGAGCGTCCCTGTGTGTGTGAGATCGACGTTCCCACTCGGGTTGAAGAGTGTCCCTGTATGTGTGAGATCGACGTTCCCACTCGGGTAGAGGAGTGTCCCTGCGTGTGTGAGATCGACGTTCCCACTCGGGTTTAGGAGTGTCCCTGTGTGTGTGAGATCGACGTTCCCACTCGGGTAGAGGAGTGTCCCTGTGTTTATGAGATCGACGTTCCCACTCGGGTAGAGGAGCGTCCCTGTGTGTGTCAGACCGACGTTCCCAATCGGGTAGAGGAGCGTCCCTGTGTGTGTGAGATTGACGTTCCCACTCGGGTAGAGGAGTGTCCCTGTGTGTGTCAGATCGACGTTCCCACTCGGGTAGAGGAGAGTCCCTGTGTGTGTGAGACCGACGTTCCCACTCGGGTAGAGGAGTGTCCCTGTGTGTGTGAGATCGACGTTCCCACTCGGGTAGAGGGGTATCTGTGTGTGTGAGACCGACGTTCCCACTCGAGTAGAGGAGCGTCCCTGTGTGTGTCAGATCGACGTTCCCACTAGGGTAGAGGTGTGTCCCTGTGTGTGTGAGACCGACGTTCCCACTCGGGTAGAGGAGTGTCCCTGTGTGTGTGAGACCGACGTTCCCATTCGGGTAGAGGAGTGCCCCTGTGTGTGTGAGACCGACGTTCCCACTCGGGTAGAGGGGTGTCTCTGTGTGTGTGAGACCGACGTTCCCACTCGGGTAGAGGAGCGTCTCTGTGTGTGTGAGATCGACGTTCCCACTCAGGGAGAGGAGCGTCCCTGTGTGTGTGAGACCGACGTTCCCACTCAGGTAGAGGAGCGTCCCTGTGTGTGTGAGACCGACGTTCCCACTCAGGTAGAGGAGCGTCTCTGTGTGTGTGAGATCGACGTTCCCACTCAGGGAGAGGAGCGTCCCTGTGTGTGTGAGACCGACGTTCCCACTCGGGTAGAGGAGCGTCCCTGTGTGTGTGAGATCGACGTTCCCACTGGGGTAGAGGAGTGTTCCTGTGTTTATGAGATCGACGTTCCCACTCGGATAGAGGAGCGTCTCTGTGTGTGTGAGACCGACGTTCCCACTCGGGTAGAGGGGTATCTGTGTGTGTGAGACCGACGTTCCCACTCGAATAGAGGAGCGTCCCTGTGTGTGTGAGATCGACGTTCCCACTCGGGTAGCGGAGTGTCCCCGTTTGTGTGAGACCGACGTTCCCACTCGAGTAGAGGAGTGTCCCTGTGTGTGTGTGATCGACGTTCCCACTCGGGTAGCGGAGTGTCCCTGTGTGTGTGAGATCGACGTTCCCACTTGGGTAGAAGGGTGTCTCTGTGTGTGTGAGACCGACGTTCCCACTCGGGTAGAGGAGCGTCCCTGTGTGTGTGAGACCGACGTTCCCACTCGGGTAGAGGAGTGTCCCTGTGTATGTGAGACCGACGTTCCCACTCGGGTAGAGGAGTGTCCCTGTGTGTGTGAAACCGACGTTCCCACTCGGGAGAGGAGTGTCCCTGTGTTATTCCAGTTATATGACGGCGGTTTGTAAATAATCGAGTCTAGACCAAACAATTGCGATACGATGACATGCATCAACCAAGTCAGCGAGCCTGACCACTCAATCCCGTTAGTCACCTTTTACGGCAAGCATGAGTTGCTAAAGATCTATTCTACCCCGGATCTTCACGGGTCTATTCTATATCAGAAAGTATTATGTTCAGATGTAGTTTTTCGGTTTTATTTGTAACGAAACTTGCAAACAGTGACTTCTCTTGGCAGATTCGCCGCCATCATGGACATCAAGCGACATCTACAACACCTCCTACTGCTTCAACGTGGTGTGTGGTGATGGGGGTATTGTCGTTCCAGCGGCCGGCATTTACCTGGTGTACTCTCACCTCACGTTCACCACACAGCCAGCCTCTGAAGATACATTCATACACGTCATACAGCGGCGGAACCGGAACTTGCCTGGTCTGGACATGCATCATCAACCAAGTCAGCGAGCCTGACAACGGGTCAGAAGAAATATGCAACCGATTCTCCAGTGATCATGTTCTAAATATGACCCTGTGACATCACCGGATGTTTATATACAATTTTGTAACCCGAGACAAACGGGAAATTACTTTCTTTGTTTGTTGTTTAACGCCGCACCTAGCAATATTCCAAAAGATATATGACTGCGGCCTGTAAATAATCGAATGTGTCCCAGACAATCCAGCGATTGATATCATGAGCATCGGTCCACGCAATTGGGATACGATGACATGCTTCAACCAAGTCAGCGAGCCTGACTCCCGAACCCCCAAGTCGCCTCAAGCGAATGGTGTTAAATTTGACTAAATGTATCTAGGAAAATTGGTATTCGCAACAAAATCGTAATCATTACACTGCAAACACGAAAACGTCGTTTTTTTCCGTATATGGTCATTGGACGGAAAAACGACTAAAAATTCATTAAAATTGATTAATTGGTCAGCGTCTAGAAAGTGTCCAGAAAAGGGTCGAGTTTTTCAAGCGTAAAATCGACGGAAAAACGATGCTTTTTGCTCCGCCTTGTACAACTGTTAACGGCCAATCAGATGGCGCTGGTCCCCCGACGCACGTGATGTCCAAGGCTTCCTTTCGGAAGCTTTAGGTTTCGTATTTCTGGCATGCCTTGCTCTAGTATTTGTCGCGCGCAGTGCGGCGAGATTTGCTGATAAGCTAGTTTTAGGATATGTTACATGTTAATGGAATTCAGACACGCGCCAAGAAGTCAAACCAAACAATGTTACTAAGTTTATTGTTGTAACGGCTATGTACAGTTACCCCTATCGAATAATGGGTTGTGTTTCATTTGGTTATGACAATAACTAATTTTTTAATGTGAAGTTTACAAGATATACGACTTGGACGCGAGGTCGGTCACATGACGTTCTTCACGTGACTGTATTCTTGAAAAGGCGTAAACACTGACTACTTCCACATTCCTGGGGAAAACCCTTGGAATTCCCTGGTACGAATTCATACAGAAGCGTGGTTGCAAGCCCATTTAAGGATACCCTCGCTACAACCCATCACAGAGAGAAAAAACACGAACAAAAATCCAAACTGTCGCAGTGACAATTTACAGAAATCTATGAATTTACCTTAGTATCCATTTGACACATCTTCACAATCACCTTTCAATGATCGGCCAATTGATCAGTGATGCCAAAGGCTTGAAATAGCCACAGGTTAATTAACAACTTCGAAAATATCTCCCGTCACGTTTATCGTGTCGGCCATTTTGACGTATTGTACTTGATGTAAATGTATTACGACGCTCTGTCATTGTAATTGACTTACTGAGGTAATTCTGTAAAAGATCTTCTCATCTAATGAGGATATTGTTTGGAATATATTTCTTGTAAACATACTCAAACATATGTTCCTCGCTTTGGGGGGAACTATTTTATTCCGGGGTGGCCCATTAAATCTAGTAGTAAGTCAAGGCACCATGCGTGATCTGTTATTTTATGTGTTTAAATTACGTTTTGGGGCGTTAATAAAATACACTGACGCAAGTATATTCTATTCAAATCAATTGGATAATTGAATATGCTTTCTTTTACATATTACATAACATCACTGCACAAAATATGAGCAGTTGCAGTAACACACTACGGTAATCGCATTAAACATCATTTTCAACTGTACAGTATTTCAGTATTTCAGTTATATCATGGTGTATCAGACTGATGTGGGATAAAAATCCGAAGTGGTTCAGGTCATCCAATGGGTGTTCGGGAAAAGGTGAGCGTACTATCCTGCCAGACAAGTGGCACCCGTCACAAACACATGCAAGGACAAGTCAATTGTTCACCTGAACAAAGCACGGAAACACACAATGATGCCCGTCCTCAGTTTTACCGAGCATGTAAATTATTTTGTCCGTCAAAAACATGGACGAGTATAAACAATATGTTCATTCACGTAATACATGTCATACATTTGACAAAATGTATTGACTCGGAGCATTATTGTTAATCACAGCGTATGCAGTTTAACTCATCACCCATCCCATTATTGATAACCCTTATTGAAGATCTATGAAATCAGAAGCTGCAACACTCTATCTTTTAACTGGCATGTCAGACTTCTATTTCATTACTCAGTTTTATTTGCACGGATTACTATGGAAGGGACATTGTCTCGTTGTCGCATTGTCGCATTGACGCCTTTACAAAACAAGCAAAACGTGTCAAAATTAACAAAAGCGCGACAATTGGCCATTTGTCGCATTGTCGCGTGTTGACATTGTCGCTCTTTGATAATCCTTTTCTTTATTTTACAAAAGGGCGACGATGCCGTAACGCGACATTTTCAAGGTCAAAATATGTCTCGTTGTCGCATTGTCGCCCCATCTCAAATGTGTATAAAAGGCGTAAAGTTCAGTTATTGTTACAGTTAGGAAGTTCAACCTGATAAATGTACGTCTTGAAATGAAAACACAAGTCCGTCCGCGAGTCCATAACGTTTTATTGTGAGCTCTTCTCTAAAAGTGCTTAGTGTTCAACTCCCAGTTCCAAACACGTAGTACCTCCTCAATAATCCACATACCTCCAGTGCAGTGGTCTTCCGGAAGATCTTACTCTTGACCGTATTAGACAACTGACGAGTGCACGCCTGACCTGTGACCTCGTTGCAACCCTCGTGATGTGTTTGCCGAAGGGAGAGGTGTAGGATATGTGTGCTCCAGCCCAGCGCAGAGCTCGCGACACACTGTATACTGATGTATACAGTATATTGCAGTTGATATACTGTATACTGCATGTGATACTTATTTGCAGACATGTTACAACTTTCAAGATTCAAGATTCAATTTGCATATATTTCATATACAACCGACCGCCGTCATATATCACTGGAATACTGCTGAGAGCGGCGTTAAAACAAATTGTTTTCATAATGGAGCGCTGCAGTCATTTAAAATAGAACCGTATACATATGTACATGTAGTACCAACTCACTCTATTTGTGTCGAATATTCAGCAGAAAATATATTATTAACCAAGTCTTTGGGAAAAGATATCAGATTTGTATAAGCAGCCACATAGGGATGATAAAGGACCCCTCGCTGATTAGGTTCTTGTTTACTTAAGAGCAGAGTTGGCCATGTTAGATGATATAACCAAAATCCAGGCGCTCCGGCGGGGGCAAGCTGGTCTTGTTAGTGTATGGTATGAGCTGTGACGTTGACCCAAGAGAATAATGTAAAACATGAGACCAACTCAAGTCTATAATGATTGGGAAAGTCTAGATTTCCACAGCTTAGCCTGAAATTAAGAATTGTTCTATGCTCCATTTTAATTGTATTATTTTCATTTTGTAGACATGGATGGACCAACCAGGAAAGAAATTGATGGAATATTAATATCACATGTTACCACTGATCCAGTTAAATTCATCACACAATAATAAATTAGTATTTGACATTACGGCATTTGATTATTAGGGCATGATCATGTACATGTTCACTGTAGTAATGTACACACCAGTCAACTTGATTATAATTTTTATCAAAGTGTAGCGCGGCATCAACGATTACTTTATGATATCCTCACTTGTCATCGATGTATTGACATCGAACAATGGACGGCAATTCGAAATTCTTATGGATAGCTTCAATAGGGACAGCGCCGGTGTCAGTACAATTTTCCTAGTTAAAATAAGTATCTACAAAATATAATCTGAAGCAGACAAGAACAATATTTTTTATTAATGCTTACTTTCATGGATAGAATTAAGGCAATCTAGGCTTGCCAAATCGTTCTAGACTTGAGCTGGATTCCTTTAAAATTTATTCTGTATGGTCTGGGAGACGAACGGGCGTCAGTATCGCATGGAGAACTGGGACAGCCTTAATCAGTGTAATCGGATATGTTGTGGAGTTTCGGTTTTGGGCTGTTTGCTGAATATATAGAATTGCGAGTTTTGTATACTCTGTATTCTTTCGTCATGGTAGCATATATATTTTCTATGTTGCTTTTTGAATTATCCACAAATAATGAGAACTACAATGTAAACCTCTCTCTGGAGATATGCAATAATACTACTGAAGGGCATATCTGAAAAATGGGACTTCTCGACAAATATTTCTTTCTTAAATACTACCCGTTACAGGCATTCTGATCATTATATCATACTTTGTACAGTTTAAAAGTCAAATAATGGCAAATTGTGTATCTTTCTACATTTTGAATTACAGTAAACTACGGTTATAACGAACACGCTTATAACGAACTGACGGATAAAACGAACTAACTTTTTAGTCCCGACTATTTGCTGTAGTTATGCTGTATATATGCTTATAACGAACTACGGTTATAACGAACTAAAAATAGTAGTCCCTTTGAGTTGGTTATAACCGTAGTTTACTGTAATTATATTTTCTGAAATAAAACCTTAGCATCAGATAGTGATATACACGCGTACGAATATGATCTTTACTATTATAAATGAATTATCAATTTCGTATTATGAATTAGATAAACAGAAATATGATAGTAAAACAAATTATTTTAATCTATTCTTGTGAGAAGGTAACGAGAGATCTAGGCAACGCACTAACGTAGCCATTTATGAAAAATGAAATATTAAAAGTTTAGGGGTTTGAACATGCACATTGAATGACAGGGAAGAAAGCAACGCAATAATTAAATTATGAATCAAATTATGTTATAAATATAACAGAATATTTAGAAAATATAAGTTTAATTTCTCATTGTTGGAAGGTGTCTAATAATTATATAGATTTTGTTTGATTGTTTGTTGTTTAACGCCGCACTCAGCAATATACCAGCTATATGACGGTGGTTCGTAAATAATCCAGTCTGGACCAAACAATTTAGTCATTATCATCAAGAGCACCGATCAACGCAGTTGGGATACGATGACATGCATCAACCAAGTCAGCGAGCCAAGTCGCCTTCGTAGAAGCATGGGTTGTTGAATGCCTATTCTAACCCGGATCTTCACGGGTATTTTTTTAAATAATAAGGTACAATGAAATTCTGTATATGTCCATAATAAGTGTGTATAAGTAGATGGATAATATGTCCATACACGCCAAGTAAATGGTATATGCATTAATTTAAATGCAAATGATTCAATGATGAGTTCT